AAAAGTGTCTAATTCATACTAATTCGTACGACCTCACTCGTACGAATTTGTACGATTTGTCTAAACCCACGTGATGGTTAGGTTTAGGGGCGGGGTAAGGGGTAGGTCATTCGTACGAATTCATACGAATTGGCCAATTCGTAAAATATGTACGATTTAGCAAAATCGTACTAATTCGCACGAGAGAGGTCGTATGAATTGTTACGAATTAGCCACTTTCTAATCATTCGTCGAATTCGTACGACTTGGTCGTGAGATCGGGTTGGGACAGCTTATACTCACTCTCTCCGTCTCTTTGAGATTCGGAAGGGAATTAAGACATACAGGTTGCTCATGTGACAGGCTCAGTTTGAGCCTGCGCAGTATGCCTGGCTATCAACTTTTAATGGGCTTAAATTTTCTCCGTTGAAATCAAATGTTTCCATTCTTTTGCTTTTTATCCAGCACTGGCTTTGGAATCAACAATGGCCACAGACAATTTGAGAAAGTGGTGGGTCAAGTCAATGGGTCAAGTGATGTATGCCGTAAAGCAGTCAAATTTCGTAGTTCTTTTTGTGCTCCGGTTACTACCCGAAATCCGAAGTTACATAGTGCAAGTAAAAGCGATACAGACCATGTCAGCCTATTGCAGACATGTCATTTAACCTATTGTAAGTCGATGTATCATCACAAGGGTCTTGGAAATATATTACGAAGGTTGAAAAACTACATAGTGTTACTTTAATCAACTTTCATATATGGTTTTTCCTGCATAAATGTACCCCAATTAATATGAATACCGAACACTTCATGCTGAGAAGGTGCACAGGAGCAGTGTCATACAAACCATTTGAGATGTCTGAACATGTATTTTTTAGAAAAAAAATCCAAAGCAGTTCTTCCTGTCCAAACAGTTAAAAGCCCTAATTTACATCATGGCTCACACTAGAAACATTAAAAAAGGACTAAAAATTGCACCCTGGTGCCCCTGACACTCTGAAGGCTGAATGGCCGAATGCATCAGTATGCAGTGTTTTAGTCTTTTTTAATGTTTCTAGTAAGCCACGATTTCACAGTTACATACAATCAGGGAGTAAAGTTTAATGCGTATTTGGCGTGCTGTCCGGGGGGAGGCCTCCAAGCTCAAAATTCGGCCTGAACACAGAGTACACCCCCTCCCCCCCCCCTGCTGAGTGCTCTCCACCCGTGTTAATGATCTGAAAGTGCTCTTCGTTTGTTAATAAAACATGTAAATTAAGGCTTTTCAGCTATTTTGGATTGATTTTTTTTTTCTAAAAAATATGTTTGAAAACCCAACCAAAGATCTTCTTCTGGGAACATTTGTTTAACCTATATGTCATATCACAAATATTTGTAATTAGTATGTAGGCCTAGTTTTAATATAATTTAATTTATTTATATTTTAAATGGTAAATTAAATACACTCTAACCAATGAGCACTTCAGCTTATTTCCTCTCTTCTTCAGCTTTGCGGCGTCTGACTGGCCGTCTGGAGGTCAGTGATGACTTGGCTGAGATGAAGGAGGAAAAGAGGAGGATGGACATGGAGAGGAAAGTGTCCATTCCTGAGCTCTTTCGCTCTCCTTTGTACCGGCAGCCCATTATCATCTCTATCATGCTGCAGCTCTCTCAACAGCTGTCAGGAGTTAATGCTGTGAGTGTTGCAGTTGTCAAGCCACCTTATATAGCAATTTTTACAATGCAAAATTTTTCAAAGCAGCTTTACAGTAATAACAGGAAAATAATGCAACAATGTTTGTTTCTGCTGTATAGCAGATCAAGAAGAAAATAGTGTCATAGTCCAGCTTAAGTAAGTTCAGTGATGGTCCATTTTTGTCGTTATTAATTTAGTTCATATATATATAGCCACTCTGGAGAAAACAGTGATGCCATCGTCCAGCTCAGTTCAGTTCTCATATAATGGTGTCAATGCTGGCAGATCAATAATATTGTTGTATATTATACTATTATTAATATTAATATTAAGTGTCCCCAAAAGCCAAAGGTCGACAGTGACAAGGAACCAAAACTGCATCAGGTGACAGAATGGAGAAAAAAAAATTGTGCTCATTTATCTAAAAAAAAAGAAAGATGAACTGAGATTAGTTTAAAGTTTTAAAAAAAGGTATTCTACATGGTTTGAGTTTTGCTCATTACCTGAATTACTTTTCTAAAATTACTTGATGTAAATGACAATCCGTAATATGGTGGCGCAAAAAAAAAGACATGTTGAGCTAAACAATTAATGTTTAAATGTAATCATTTCTCTCCATTAAAGGGAAAAGAAGACTTAATACATTTTCATTTATGGCAGTAATGATGTTTTTCTTTAGAAAGATGTTTTTTTAGAAAAGTAAACCGAAACAAATTTGAATTTGCGTGTGACATGTTTTTGAACCAATTCTCACAATTGCTTTTGCATTCCACTGCTTAGATCTTCTATTATTCTACTGACATCTTCAAGAAAGCTGGGGTGGAGAGTCCGGTTTATGCCACCATAGGTGCTGGAGTTGTCAATTGTGCTTTCACTATAGTCTCAGTATGTTATACTTCTTTTTTAAAATAATTTATATGTAGTATTTAATTTTAAAAAATCAAACAATATGAACCACGTTATTAGCATAAACCAAGCCAAACTACAAATACATGTTTATCTAGTGATGCTGATTACTGACATCTCTCACTGTCTATTGCTCACTTGTTCAATCTACAGGTCTTCCTGATCGAGCGAATGGGTCGCCGAACACTCCACATGCTTGGACTTGCTGGAATGTGTATCTGTGCCATCATCATGACAATTGCCCTCTCATTACTGGTCAGCCCAAAATACTTATCAGGAAAAGCATGGCAAAATACATGGCAAATATATATATATTTTTTAAACTAGATTTCCCTTTTAACTATTTGCATAAAAATAGCTAAATAGTAGCTACTCTTAATTTAGAGAAAATCAATTGACAAAGTCAGAAGGCTGGTTGTAAAATGCTCAAATACATTTGTTTAGCATTTTTTCTTGTCAGTGAATCCTATTAAAATTATCATCACCTTTTAATGCCGGGTCCAACTTGAATCTTTAAAATGAGGAAAATGACTGTTGTTTTGTAACATATAGACAGATAAGGAGCAACAAACAACACTCTGCTTTAGCAAAGGTGATGGATCATTAACTATTTTTTCTTTGTTCATTGACAGGAGACTGTGCCATCAATGAGCTACATTAGCATGATAGCCATTTTTGGTTTTGTGGCCTTCTTTGAGATAGGGCCTGGTCCTATTCCTTGGTTCTTTGTGGCTGAACTCTTCTCACAAGGTCCCAGACCAGCAGCCATGGCAGTAGCTGGCTGCTCCAACTGGACTGCCAACTTCATCATTGGCATGGGCTTCCAGTATGTTGCTGTAAGTGCAGAGGAAGCATTGTTTTATTCTGGATTTCAATATTCCAATATATCAAATGTGTCTTAAATCTATCAAACTCATTCTCTCCTTACCACAGAACCTATGTGGCCCATATGTTTTCCTGATCTTCGCTTTGCTCCTTCTTTTCTTTCTGGTCTTCACATTCTTCCGAGTTCCTGAGACACGAGGCAAGACCTTTGACCAAATCTCAGCCACCTTCCATGGTCATCCACAAAACATGATGGACATGGACCTAGACATGGATCAAGGGAAACACAGTACAGAGCTAGACTACCTAGGATCTGATGGGACAGAGAACTGAAGCCTGAAAACTAGAGGGATTACGGATGGGGGCCAGAATCACCACAATTTACCATTCTTTGTGGCTTGCATACCAAAAAGACATTACTCAGAAGAGACTATGTGGTCTTTGGAAATTAAGTATTATAAAGAAGGATGTTGGACTTTGGGAGAAAGTGCAATGTTGTTTGAAAAGGAGCAAGACTTGAGATTTGGAACTCTGCACTTTAACTGCACAAAGGTTTCCATACACCACAAAGCCAGCTATGCTTTTGCATACAACTAGTAGATTGTTGACTGTTCTTCTCATTTTAGTGTTACATTAGGATAATGGACCCTTTTCACATTTCTGGGATTTTGAAATGCAGAACTCTTCATAGTTGGGTAAACTTGTATATCGGTGAATGAGCGACAACAGCAAATATAATTTTGTATATCTACTTTAATATCAAAGGCAAAAACATCTGTGATGATAGCGTTTTCATAACTTTTCAAAAGAGAGAAAAATTTACAGAGATTGATTACACCAGTCAGAAGAGAACAAGATGTAAAAATAGCTACCACTCCCTCACAACAGCTTTGATTAATTTGTCATTTACTGCTAACCAACATAATATAACAGGAAGTACGTGCATCAATAAAATAAACTTTACGAGATTTGCGACGTTGATAACTGCAGAAATGCATCATTCACAACTCAGTTGTGAAAAGGGTCCAGGAAACATTTTAATAATGATTAGTAACAAACTGTCAAATGCTAAAGTTTTTGCACAAAGCAAACATTTTACCTTTAGATATTTAATGCTTTCATCATACACTATCCTCAACACATATCAGAGAAACTAGTTATGTCTAACCTTCAATATTTTAATGACAGAATCAAACATCAAGACATGCACATTGTAATTTCAGACATGGATAATTTAATAGGAAGTATATAGACAACTGTTTGTGCTTAATATATATATAGAGAACACTTCTTACTCACTATATTAGATTTTTAAAAAATGAGTTTCACTGAGAAATTAAATGTACGATGTGTGCCGTTTGATGAGTGAAAAAAGCCGACCTATATTCCTTATGTTGACTTATATTGTCACGACATGCCACATTCTGAGGTGTAACTTTAACTTATTTATATGATGGAATAAAACGTGTTTTTGTTCTCACAAACCAACTGTGCATTTCCAAGCACAGGAAGTGTAACCAGCTGTTCAACAATTCTGGCACAACAGAACATGGATAAATGGATTAAGTAAGCTTGTGTCTGTCAAGTATGACCAGCTTAAAAAAAAAGAGAGAGAGTCAGGAGAGTCAGTAAATAATTTATTTACATTACTGGCATTGCACACAACCCCCACCAAAGTAAAAGTACATACCAAAATAAAAGAAAAAAAGGACAATTTTTAAACCAAATTGTATTTTGATTGGATGCACATTTTCCCCTTTTATCAAGTTACAAGTAAGAGAAGAGTATGTGCTGTGCTCATCACACTGGATGGCATTTCCTCTCTTTGATGAACTTAAAGTAGCCGAACTGGGTCACATTTTCTCAACTGCTCATCGCCCATAGTACAGAACAAAACTATTAAGGGGAAATATTGTAAATATAATGGGCTTTTAGAGCAGGGTTTTTTTTTTTGCACTATTTACTTTTTAAATGGCCAAGTATGCAACAACCCAACCCTCCCTTCCCCACCAGCCCCTTCCTTTCCATCCATCCATCCCTCTCTTTCTCTCTCCCTGACAGATGAAGGGTCCAGACCACAAGCAGCGGACCAGTTTGGGGGAGGGACAATGACGTAGAAGCGAGGAGAAAGACGTTTGATGAGACAGGCGAGGTTCAACCCCACAAACTAACCCATCTTGGAACCTATGCAGTGACACAAAAACAAAAATATGAGGCCTGAAAGAGAGAAACCCCTAACCCAAGGGCAACAAAGGACAGTGGGCAATGACAGTTATAATAAACTTTCAGACATATGCTGAACTTGCAAATAAAACATTGCAAAACTAAAATTAAATGCATGTAAATCGTCAGTGTACGAATTCTTAAGCATTTATTGCAACATTTCATTTCTTTCTCGAACAACTAGACGAACAAATGGCTTTCCACAAACCATACTTCACCTAGACGGGGCTTTTCTTCTGTCACTGTATAGACCAGTTCATACATGCCAGAGAAATGGGCTATTATAGGCATTTATTTTAAAAATATCAACATACCTTCCATCTGCCTCCATACATTAACCATTAGCCAACTTCTTTGGCACACCACCGGTTTTATTTAACTGACCAACTATCAAAAACATCTAGTTAAAGGGGGACTTGGCAACTATCTCAACTTAATAAAACAGTTTAATGGTCCAATAAACTGTTCTGGAGAGACTGTTCTGGGTTTCCCCGCTCCCCCTTCAGCGGGATTTTAGGCCTCATGTTGCAAGGTTGGTTTTCAGAAGTCTTGTGAGAAGAGAGAACAAGCGAGAAACACAAACTGCTTTATCGCAATTCGACAATTCTAAATAATCTGATACAAGCAGTGTTCTAAAGGTAGTTTTTGGTAAGAAACGAACCGAAAATGCAATCAAGCGAAAATCTTGGCATTGTAACCCTGTGTACATCTATGCGAGTGCACAGCAGTTTGCGTATTCTGTTGTGCTCTGGTTGTCAGACAGTCAGAATAACAGTTAGAACAATAACTTGCATGAACGTCAGGACAAATAATCTAGGCCTATAATATACCCATTTCAATGCATTTTCTTTTTTCTATTAGTATTTAAATAGATCGGGCTTACAATCTAATAATTTATATCTATTAATTTAATGATTTTTTGCCACACCCAGTTGACGATTTTGTTGAATTTGTGTTTGATAAGAAAGATGAAATGTGGATGAATATTATTCAGTTGCTCATAATGGAGGAAAAACGCATGACGACACGGTTTGATCTTTGGTAAACCCAACAGCGGTAAGGTGCATTTCATTCCCGACCAAATATGGAGATCGAATATTTAAGCAGTTTATTAATTTAACATCTGAACAATATTTCAGCTTGATTTTTAGTTAAATCAAAAAAAAAAAAGAATCAACGAATGAAACATGAATTGGCTTTGCAAATTAAAACCAATTAACTTTATAAAAATGCAAAAGAAAAACCTGAAATAAGCAAAACCTGAAATAAGCATTTTAGATTATGAAGTGGCTGCTGCTTAATTTTACAAGCCGAAAACATTAATGCATTTTAACAGCAGTTGTAGTTTGATGGCCAAAACATTTTACCACCTTTAAAATCAGTCCCACCTCTTGCCAGGTCACATGACTTCCTCCATGTCACAGAAATCATTCTGAGGGCTTGGAAGCTGTAGGGACGGGTGCCTACACAGGGGAAAAAAACTGCTAGAGCACATTTGTCATTTGTATATAGATGTCTTTGGGTTTTTTTTTTTTTTAACCACTCACTTCATTTTTAGGGGATTTTTCAGAGGATTTGACATTAGCAGGCTTGGAGTCTGGGGACTCAGGTTTTTCAGGTTCGTCTCCATCCTAAACAATTACAAGCCAGATATTTATAAAGCCTAACTGAACAGAGTTGTAGGACAGAGCTATATTAAGCTAAGATGCATTGTTTTGAATTAAGGCAGCTAACGTTAATATAAGTAAAGTAAGGCAGCGAGGACAAAGCTAATGTTGTCAAATTCAACTAAATTACTTCAGTCGTGCATTTTTCTGCGAACCACTTACTTTAGAGGTACCGGATTCAGACTTCCTCTGTCTGCGCCGACTGAACTGTTTGCGGGGTTTCCGGGACTGCTCATCTGTCTGCTCCCCATTGGTCTGGTCCTCTTTAGGGGGTGACTCTTGCTCTTCTGCCGGGGCTACCATCTGTTGAGCCTCTCCAGGGGGTGGCCGGGGTTGGAACGGCCTGTGCATCACAGAAGAGAGACTTACGCATTTGCATAAGATGCAATAAACAAGCACATGCAAGTGAGCCTGTTTAAGGCAATGCAAATGGAGACCTCTGAAGGAATCATGCAAATAAATAGTCAAGTCACCTTTATTTATAAAGCACTTCACAGTAACAAACAGGAAAACCACATTCAATGATGCAAACGTCATCGAATAGGAGAAATTCTGCTTAAAATCAGTTCATCAATAATGAAGAGTTCAATTCAGCTATAAGAAGCTCTACAAAAGACAATGAGTTAAATCAACACTGAACTAACTCCAGCTGAATAATGTCAGTTACAAAAAAGCAAGGATTTACCATTTAGAAATGGTAATTAGAGCTGGTCAAACGGGCATTAGAAAAATTAAATAAAATTGTATTTAAGAGTAAACATTTGAGACTTTTTCCAGCCTTAAATACACTTCAAAATTCAGGGCATCTTAATATTTGACCCTTTTAAAATGCCCCAAAAATGTCAGTATTACATTCATTATTGCAGTCAGAGCATTGACTTGTAGAATGGGAGACTCTAGATTATTAGATGTACACCTTTCTTACAAGGTCAGTTACAAAAGGAATACCTTTACGATCAAGCCTGTAGTTTTTTTTTTATTTATTTTTTTTATCAACTCCCTCTCATCATATATCTAATTCATTATTTGTTGGAAAGTGTGCAGTCTCTTCCTCTTCACTGCAATCTTGTTAGGATATCTTGTTATAATTAGGATAATTTATCTTTATATAATTAATCTTGTTATAATTAGGATACCTCTCCAGCACTCTTAAATAATTTAGGAGCTGAGACCAATTCTTAACACATGAGCCTTTATGAATCGTACTTAGAATATTGACACCCTTAAGACTAAAATTTTACTCTGTGCAGCTTTATACATACGGCCCCAAGTCTGTATATACAAGTGGTGATATGAACCTTCGAAATCGAGGTCTGAACCTGCGAGGTGGCGGCCTCTGCTGGGCACCATCTACTTCCTCATTCTTCTCACCAGTTTCTCCCTAGAGCAGAGACAGAAAACTCCAAAACTCACTGACCATTTTACGTGCAGTAATACAACAAAATGGCCTAAAGTTTAAAGGCTTAATACATTGAATATTGAAACTTAACACAATCCATTTAATGTACTCTATTAAAAGTCACCAGGGCTAATAAAATTTACCATCAATGTTTAAAAAAAAAAATACAGTTAATCTAAGGTAGGGCAGACCTTCAAATAAAAAGCATCCAAATAACTTCACCTCGCCTTGTGGTGGAACAGGTCTCCTGCGTGGACGCTGGCGGCGAGGACGTGGCCGAGGGGCTCCTTTCTCCTCGCTGCCCTCTCCCTCAGTTGTGGGATCAGTTGGAGCATCCCCAGCTTCTCCAGCTTTCTCCTCTCCTTCAGCAGGCCGTGCATTACGAGGGTAAAAGCGTCTACGAAATCTGCGTTTATTGGGGGCGTATCGGCTGCCTTTGACAGGTACACCTCCTGGACCGGTCACATTCGCTGCCTCTGAGCCCTAAAGCAAATGCTCAGTTTTAGAGTGAAAATTGAGCAATGAAACTCACTATATCCCTGTAACAATATTTTGATTGATCCAGAAGCACTTACTTTAGCTGCTTCGACAACGTCAAACTCGACAACCTCACCGTCACCCACACTTCTAAGGAACTTTCTTGGGTTATTCTTTTTTATTGCCGTCTGCTCAAAGGGAAAAGGCACATACTTAGCATAACATTTAATTTTAATCTGTGATGGGTGCGTGAAGTTGTCAAATCAAACCATTTCAAAATTAATGTTGATATTTTAGGAGCACCTGAAATCCAGGATTTCTGTATAGGTTATACATCTTGGTATGTTTTCTTTTTTGTAAATATCAATTAAACTTACAGACAAGAATGTCATGTTTGCTTTTAACATGTTCAGAAGACAGACTAGTGGCATTATTATACCAATATATATAAAATTACAACGCATTTATAAAGTAAACATTACCTGGTGAACAAATACATCTTCTTTAGTATCATTTCTGTGGAACAAAAAGGGAATTACATTTTAAACCAACCAAGACAACATATTTGATATTGTTAAGAAAACAACAACCTGACAATTCAAATGCTTGCTATGCAATTAATTATACATAGAGGGTGTCCAGAAATCTGAGATCACTTTGAAATCTGGGCTTTCATTGTTTAAACCTGGAAATAACGTTTTAGAATTTAAAATAAATGTCAAATGCCTGCACTAATGGTCTCAGACGTTTGGACCCCACCGTATTTGACCCAGCAGACTGTGTATTTATACATACAGTTAATCTGACCAATGAGAGTCCTTTCAGCATTACGAACCTACCTATTGATAAAGCCATATCCATTGCGCACATTGAACCATTTCACAGTTCCTTGCACACCTGTTGCTGCAACAAATCATAAAAATAATGCATCACCATCTAATGTTACTTTGAGTGGTTCGACAGGATTCGTATGCTCAAGCAAAGCCAGGATAAACTTACTCATCGGAACACTGTGGGCAACGTGTGTGAATTATTAACTAAAGTTTGAAACAATCAGTTAATTTGTTCAGACAAAGGGAGACGACACACGTGTTTTTGGCACTAGGAGTTCTCACTAGATCTAGGCGACCCAAATTATGGCTGATAATGTAAAGCTTTCACCTAACGACATGCAACACACCTGCAGTTAAATCCCTCCCACATAAGCACATGGTAACAGCGCGCAGAAATGTGAGCCAACGCACTTTCACTCTAAACACTAAACAGCCAAACGCTGAACCTGCTTCAAATATGACCAACTTCAGATCATACCAGACATGCTACTTCAATTTATCTTGGTGTAGTTACAGAAACAAAATATTAAATCCCAAAGACTAACGAGACAATCAGATCGCCCAGTAAAGAGTAACTCGGGAGTCCCAAAGAGGAACCACGTGCTAAAAAGTATTAACGTTTTTATCGATAGCATTCATGCAAATTCGCAAGTGTGAAATAAGCTATTTCCGTAGGCTACGCCTCAAAAATAAAACAAGTTTTTTGAAAAGCTATAGCCTACTGTCGAAAGTTCAAACACGAGCTAGGAATAAACAGCTGATCAATATGAAAAGCTAATTCGTCAGAATTCCAAAGCTTGTCAGTCGCGTCTCATTCCATAAACATGACGTGTTCATTATTACGATTTTGTAATGTGTATTAAATAAACGTATTTTTGTCGCCAAAGCCACTAAACCCCTACCAATGACTTTTCTCTCGGGTTGAGGTTGCTCAGACGCCTCTGTGTCGCTCATCTTCACTCTCTGGATTTAACCCCCTCCCTACAACTCACAAAACTTTGAGCTACTCAAGCGGCCACCTCAAACTTTTTATCCCGATTCTCCGTCAGAAAGGACTCAGCCTGGATTTAATTGGTCTTCAAGCGACCAATCCGCGAGTTCTATCGGCATTCTCGCGTGATTAATTGGGAGTCAGCGCTGATAGACTGTAAAAAAATAGGTTTTGGGCGAAAACCAACGTGTTCCTCTAATATGGAGCTGATTGTGTCTTTACATGCGAGAAAATATGTGATCTGAGAGAAAAAAACGTTTGAGAGAAAAAGTTATCACACTGACAGCAAAACATTTTCATGAGATATATATATATATATATATATATATATATATATATATATATATATGAGAGAAAAAGTTTTCATATCAATAGCAAAAAATAATATTTGAGACTAAAAAAGTTTTGAGAGAAAGCATTTTCTCATAGAACATAAAAATATGAATTTTTACATTTTTAAATTATTTCTAAGAAAAAAAAACATCTCTCAAAATACTTAAATACATATTTTTTTGCTATCAGTGTGAAAACATTTTCTATAAAAAAATGTTTTTCTCAAAACGCTTTTCTTTGCTCTCTATGCAATTTCTTGCTCTCGGGTCAGGATTTTGCTTTCACTGTGAAAATTGTGTCATGGGCGGGGCCACGTTCCTATTGGCCAGTCCGGTGAGCATTGCCTTGTCTTGGGAGTTGTACTCATAGACAGATCGAACTGAATTATTACACCATTGTTCGGTTCACCAGATAGATGCCGCCTCTACTTTAGTTGAGCTAGAGCTTAGATTCTCTGCCCGAGCTCGACCTTGACCCGGGCCGGGCCGCCAATATTTGCTGTCACTATCCTCGGGCCGGGCCTTTGATCTAGAAACGTGCACTCCCAACGCAATAGGCTCTACATGTGTCCGAAAGAATCTCAGTCAGCTTCTTTACTTCCGGAAGCGCGTTCTGCAGGCCAAGTGTATAGCGGCAAAACTTTAATACAATCCGTTTTCTCAGAAAAGGAGACAATGATTTTAGAGGCTATAGAGTGCGGCGTGCGGCGTAGATTTGATGGCTGAGTGCGACTGCATGCGGTAATGCGCTCACTCTGTGTGTGCGGGTTGCAGGAGAATAAAACGATTTGCGGTACTCCTGCAAACTAGAACCTATTCCCTCACCGCTCAAAACTGCCTTTTTGTTCAGTGCTGAATTCTGTATGCTGGCAAATCCTCTAATTATAACAAACAAAGTGTGGATATTATGAAAGATTCATTGATAACAACAGAGGATCGCGATGAACTGTCAGCTTTTTATGAATTTTTAAGGTAGCATTCAATCAGTCACGCCAAACCATGCACGCAGTAGTCTACTTGTTTTTTATTTGATAACAGTGGTTTGTGTGTTAATGCTAATAACAAATATTTTAACAGGAGCATTTATGCTGATGTGTATGGTGGCGCCACGTAGTAGGCTAATTTGAAAGTATTTGGAGGTACAGAAAAAAAAGTTTTTTGGGGCGGGAACAGGACAAAACATAAATGTTATGGGCTGGAGAAAGTAACATAGAAATGTCACATGAGAATGTCAGTTATAATAATGACCCACCATGTATTAAAAATGGTCAGGTTTATATCAGGCTCGGGCTCATAATTACAGTTCATGTGCCGGGCCGGGCTCGGACACAACGGGCTCGGGTAGGGTCGGGCTTGATTTTTGGGCCCGATCTAAGCTCTAGTTGAACATGTTCGGGTAAGACGATGACACACACAAATCGATGAGGTAGCTGATTTAGCAAGTTCAGCATCACTGAAGATCATTAAAAAATAGCAGTCATATTCATGAATGAATGTGTATTATATTATTAGCTTGCTAATCGCTAGTAAAGCTAATCACTAATTAGCCATCATGCTAGATAAACTTGAGTTTTTAATACTTAATCTTCGGTGATGCTGAACTGCAGCTACCCATTGAGTTATGTGTGTCATCATCTTACCCAAACATTGGAGTGTCCGTGCTCAACTAAGGCAGAGGCGGTATCTTTCTAGTTGAACAATGGTGTAAGACCATCACAGTCCCGCCCACAGCCGGTGCCGGAAGTAAAAATTCAATACAATTTCTCCATTAACAGTTGGGATATAAGCCATTAAAACATAACCATACTTGGTAGACTTAAAACCAGCTATGGCTGTACTAAGTGATATGCTCATAAAATGCCAAAAGTTCATGGGGCACTAACCTTGTTTTAGATAAAGATAAATTCCTTTTATTCACGATGTATTTGGATAAGTACTTCATTACCCACAATCCTGAACAATCCCACAGTGATGCATCTGATTGGTGGAAGTCGTGTCAGGTGTCTGGCACGTGAAGACTGAAGATCGCATAATGACGTAGGGCTAAGTTCATTAGTCGCACCTCAGAGACCACCCCGCGCCATTGGATGTGCAGTTGCCCCAGCACAGCCTATGAGCGAGCCAGATGCTCAATGTTTTAGCATGTGCATGAGGTTCAGTAAATCGAGGAAAAGGAGTTTCCCTTCACATTTACTATATAAAATTCACTGGAGGAAAAAGTTCACGTGGCCGTCGTCATTTGGATGTCACTCAACAGGCTCTTTCACGGTGGCTTTCCGTCGACTTAGTGAGGTGTGTTGGTTTATGGGAGGAGTAGTTCCTTTGCTCGGAAATGAAAATATGTACACAGGCTTGTACCCTTGACTTTTTTTGGATTTTCTCTTAGTTTTTTCTCTCGAAATGATATGTTGTATGCTTATAAGTTCAGCCGTAGCTGTTTATCCTCAGACATGCTCTAATACTCTTCATATAAGGATTTTACAAAATGTCAATGGGAGAAATAAATAGGAAATTTACTTCCGGCACCAACGCTCTCTCGGGCTGTGGGCGGGACTGTGATGCTCTATAATGATTAGACTCCCAAGACAAGATGATGCTCACCCGACTGGCCAATGGGAACGTGGCCCCGCCCATGAAACAATTTTCACAGTGAAAGCAAAATCCTGACTCGAGAGCAAGAAATTGCATCTAGAGCAATGAAAAGCGTTTTTGAGAGAAACACTTTTTTTTTTAGAGAAAATCTTTTCACACTGATAGCAAAAAATATATTTAAGTATTTTGAGAGAGATTTTTTTTCTCAGAAATAATTTTAAAATTTATATATTTTTATGTTCTATGAGAAAATCTATCAAAACACGAGTTTTGTGTAATGGTAACATGAAATACCAGTTTCTCTCGGTTTCTCTAGAAGATTATAGTGCAGCGGTGTGTTGATAGAAAATAAGACAAATCTCAAATAGCCTAGCGTGATTTGATGTAATATCATAGTTTAATATCGTTGTGCCTGGTTATGCCCCCCCCCCCCCACCCCCATTATGCCTTGCACAAGCAATTCTACACACAGGTCACAAGATTCAAGTTTCACTAGACTATTTTTATCTAAATGACTTGCCAAGACTGTGTGGGTGCCATGCATTTGGTCATATTCTTCTGACAGCTTTTAATTTTATTGGACAATCGTTATTTTATTCAGTGGTTTCTGAATAGGATTTTTTTAAAACAAAAACCAAAACAAACAAACAAAACAAAAACAACAACAACGACAACAACAGTAAAACCCTGGTTGCAACCATGTTAAAATATGAAAAATTAAGAATAAATAAAGTAGCTATCTTTATGCATGTGTTTGCATCATGAACAAGATAAATCCAGACATACAACATATGAACTATGTAGTAAACAAAAGAAGTGAAGATAAAATATTTGTGTATATCTTTTTTTATATATATATTTAGAGTTACTAGAGTCTCTACTGACTAACTCTTCCAGTCGCACTCTGCACCCTCACCAGTGTTGCCTTATCATTCTGGCTATAGACATTCTGATCTCACCTTTCACCAGTAAAAAATAAGTATAATCAGATTAAGGTGATTAATTATGTAGAGAGGTATATTTGACTGCTCTGAGAGGTTGGTCATACTTTATTGTAATATGTAAACCAAGGTCTTGCTGGACAGTATATGACCCAATTAAGCCCTATTGGTACTGCACAATCTGACTGCAAATCTGAGATCTTTCCCAAAGTATTGAACTGCTGAACCCAGAGAACCACACGTCACATCATTTTCAAGACGGCTGCATTAGGCCAACTGTCTCAGACCGGAAGTTCATTTGGAGATTATAGCCTCATTAAGGTTAGTGCATTTGCTAAGGATGAATGGAGCTTATAGTTGTTGTAGTGAAGTAAGGGTTACTGTAGTGAAGTAATGGGGACGGGTCTTGCGTAGCCAGACCTTCAGACTGATTTACAGTTCGTTTTGTTCAGCCTCATGTTTAAGGATGTGTTATGTCAATATCCCTACAATAACAGATAGGCATGTAAAACTCTTGGACGTATTTTAAAGAGTCTATGCCGCAAACTTCTCATTTTGAAAATCCACTGTTGATCCTGATAAGCGCTCATTGCCACAGTTGTAAACCCGACAGCTTCTTCCTCCTTTATGAGGTTTGGCATCACAGCAGGTTTGTTTCAGGTGGACCATTAAAATTCCTGTTGAAAATCTTGTAGAATTTAACCAATCAGATGATGACTTCGAAACCAATTCTGTTTCCAATTGTGTCTGCCATATCTGCATCAGACCTTCAGCCAAAGGTTTGTGGGTGTGTGAAGTTTGCGGCTGAAACAGCTCTGCCCTATAACTTCCGTTGTGAGACTGTCTGCCTGCTGTGGCTGTCCTACATGGCGCTGAGGCATTGCACTTAGAAATATCCCCACATTCCATAAAATTGTCTGTGTATTCTGAATTTGTTTTTTAAAAAGAAATATCATATCAGTTAATTTATTATTAGACTAGTCAAGACCGCCTAAACCAAGACAAAGACACTACCAAGACCAGAGGGTATTATCGAGACCAAGACAAGACCGGAGTGGAAAAAAAAAAACATAGACTATTGTTGAAGCGAAGCAATAACTTGTAAGATTTTGTTTTGCATTGCCTGCCTATCTCTGCCGATTTCGAAGTCTCCAAAATCCATTCTGCAACTTTTAAATATATAATTATATTTTTAAAAACTAAATTATAAGCTTAAATGCAGGATCCGTAGTTGGCCGGTTTGTCGCCAACCGTTGGTGCGCTCAAAGTCATCTGTCAGTTACCCAAAATATCCTGAATGAAGTTAAAACCCATCATGTCACTGATATGTGTTTTACTAAATATTTATACATAATCACTGTAGCCTACATGATATGTGTTTTTTTTTTTAAATAAAGTGATCAACGTGCCCGTTGCCTCTGATCAGTGGCGGTGATTTCTCGTGTGGCTAGCTAGCGCACACCGTCTTCACTCGGACGCGCGCTTCAATCCGTTGTAGATATCGTCGTGGATATTGTATTGCTAAATCCCCCGACGACTATATCGGTCTGAGAGAACTAGACAAAACCAAAGACCGTCAAGGCCGTGACAAAACCGAGACCACGTAAAGAGGGAGAGGGAGGAGAGGGAGAGATGGGGAGGGAGGGGAGGAGAGGGAGAGATGGGGAGGGAGGGGGGCAGAGAGAGAGAGGCAGGGATAGAGAGGGAGCTGGGATAGAGAGATAGAAAGAGATAGAAAGAGAGAGAGAGTGTGTTTAGGATTCACGCATTCGGCAGCCAACTAAACGTGTTGCTCAAACTGAGAGAGGGGAATACGAAACGCTTGTAATGACAGCAGCGTCAAGATAGCTGAATTGCGCGAGTAAACAAGGCTTCGCGCAGCTGATAGCAACAAATCAGGCAGACAGTTTCGAAAGAGGAGACACGGAAAAGCGATCTAGTCTGGGGTGGCCCGAAAGCGTGGACAAGGCTGTAAACCAGGTAAGTAACGTTATAGATGTGTGATGAAAAAGGAAATGAGTGGGAGCGGTTGTTACAGAGGCTTAATTCAAACAACGGGCGTGATCCCGCGTAGCAACCTCACCCCCCGAGATAACCCTTCATCTGTTTCACGCGTTTGACAGTCACCTAAAGCAAACAATTAGCTTAAGATGCAGCATCTCTTGTAAATTGCTAAATGTCCGCAAGAAATGTGCACTTACTCTTTTGAGCGAGTAATTTAGAATGACAACAACATATTTCCTGCGGCGTTGGATGCACAAACTAAACTGAATTTGACGCGGAAAGTTTCCTCGCGGTACGAAGACAAAGATGATATAGCTAAAACTTAATCATAACTCAAAGAAGCATGAGTCCACAGCGCCTCGTATAGTAACGTTATATTAGCTCAACCTTACAGCACAGGAAACCTACTGTTAGCCGCACAGGGTTTCGTTTCGCATTTAAGTTAGTCGGTGGATCTGGTTCATGAGCTGTCATGTGCAGTATAACGGTGACATGCGTACACCTGCTCGGCCGTATGAGCGCGGCTGCTCGGCGGGCCTCTGGTTCTGATCAGTGCGCAGTGGCGAATCTAGCAGGCCTCAGATAGCAGCAAGCTCACTGCGGCTGGAGGACACGCGTGTCCTTATGAAAGCGGCCCAACTTTCATTGTTCAAGCACCTACGGCTCTTATTCCCTGTAAAATGTTACAATGCAAGTGTGCGATAGTGCGCGTGTTGCGTGGATTACGTCCGTAACAACAGTCCGTTACTTGAGCAACTGAATAGACTTAGGAAGCGCATCGATTATAGATATTATGTTAGCTGTTTGAAAATTAAAATATGATGTTTTAGCATTTTGTATGTGGAGTGAAATGAATTTATGTATCGATATAGCCAGACGTGGGATATGGGGCTGCATCTCGCAGCATGACTTGACGTTTGGGCCCCTCCCACGTGAATTGGACAACAGGACAACATTGTACAGTGAAGTTACTCAAATGTTGTTTTGTAGCTGTTAATGACAATTGTCAGTGTTGACGGGTATTATGCATATAATTACATATTTACAATAGTTATCATATATAGCTACAAAACAACATTTGAGTAACTTCACTGTACAATGTTGTCCTGTACGTTGTACCGTATAGTTCAGTTAAAAGGTGCCTCTTGTTCACGCATAGCTTGCTTCTGCAAACCCAGTGATTCATGAGACAACAATCAATTCATTTAATTGAGATTTTCGTTTGTTTAAAGATAGTTAATAATTAAAAAATAATGTGTCATATTGTAAATAATTTTCCTTCATACCCAATTTGGTTTTAAGCCAGTAGTGTGTGTCAGTAGGAAACATCAGCTTACATTTTTAAACATTGCTTTTGCCATAAATTGTGATTATCCAGTGAGATGTTTCTGGACAAGGAGTCTAACAACAGCCAGTATGATCTGATCTTGCCATCATCGAGTCCATCTGGGATTGCATGAAGAAACAGACTAAATCCAGAAGAACTGCAGCAACGTCTCCAAGACGCTTGAAACGATTTGTTCACTTCAGAATTAAAATGTACTTATAATTTACTTACCCCCCCGCCCCCTTTTCCATTCCAGGATTTCCTCCATGTAGTGGACTTTAATGGGAACCAATGGGTTGAAGGTCCAAACTGCAGTTTCAATGCTGCTTCAAAGGGCTCTACACGATCCCAGCCAAGAAATCACAGAGCTAGTGCAAGATGTGCATTTGTGGTTAAAGTATACAAATGTTTTTTTTTGTTTTGTTTTGTTTTAGAAAATGACTGATCGTTTCGCTGGATAAGACCCTTATTCCTTGGCTGGGATCATGTAGAGCCCTTTGAAGGTGCATTGAGACTGCAATTTGGACCTTCAACCATTGGTTCCCGTTAAAATCCACTATATGGAGAAAAATCCTGGAATGTTTTCCTCAAAAACCTTAATTTCTTTTCGACTGAAGAACGAAAAACATCTTGGAGGACAGGGGGGTGAGTAAATAATCAGGAAATTGTAATTCTGAAGTGAAATAATCCTAACTCCTAATCATAACTCCAAATCATAACTAATTCCAAAGTTACCAGTGAAAAGTTTTAGGCACTTGTGTAAAATTCTGTAAAGTGACGATGCTTTCAAAAAAAAAAAAAAAAAAAATTCAAACTTTTTTCTCTCTCAGATCATTTATTCTCGCATGTATTAAAGACACAATTCTAGCTCCATATTCTTTAGCCTATTGATTTTTTTTTTTCATGGTATTCAGCTACAATAAAATGTTTTGCAATAAGGCATATAGCATTAAGAGTTATTGTAGTTCTTTTTTTTTACCGTACTGGAATCGAAATTAGGAATTGATAAGAATTGGAAACTTTAAAATTTTAACAATACCCAACCTTTCCTCAATGGCTATTTGAATATTATGGCCCCAAGTGATGTCAGTGGAAAATAAGGAAATTTGTTTCAGGGGAGGAACAAGGTCATTTTGATCAAATATTTTTTATATTGGACTGTTTGACTGTTTAATTCAAGAATAGCAAGATAGGTCTTGCCTTTTGTACCAAACCACTTTTCATTAGTGTGTTTCTCAGATGTAACAAATCATCATTCTTTAAGTTGACTTATGCTGACTAATATTAACTAAGGTAATTCTGGCTCATTAATCTTTAGAAAAGACATGGCGGATGCTGACCTGGACTTCACAACAGGCGATGCAGGTGCCTCTGCTACCTACCCCATGCAGTGCTCTGCCCTGCGCAAAAATGGTTTTGTGGTTTTAAAGGGTCGGCCATGCAAGATTGTGGAGATGTCCACATCTAAGACTGGTAAACATGGACACGCCAAGGTGAGTGATGGTTATGTGAGCACAGCATACAAATTGTAGATAGTTCACAACCAATGCACATCATCTTCATTTACTTACTTTAAATGCAATAACATTTTATTTGAAGGGTATATCACACAAAAAATGTAGCAGTCATAGTGTTAACTGCCTAGCTATATAGATTGTATGCGGATGAGTGTTTGTTTTGCACAATGGAGTTCCAGAAGTCCCTTCATACAAGTCTTTATGAATAAGGTGAAAGGGAGGCCATTCATTCAAGGGAGGTATGAAATGTAGTTAGATGACTTTGTGCATAGTGGTGAAGTAACCCCCACCCGTAACTTTATTTTATTTAAAGGTTCACATGGTGGGCATTGACATCTTCTCAGGCAAAAAGTATGAGGATATCTGTCCCTCAACCCACAATATGGATGTCCCTAACATCAAAAGAATGGACTACCAGGTATGTGACTATTAGGGTGTATTTACACCAGGGAAGTCCACTAGTTCGTACAATGTTTGTTGTGGTTCGCTTTCACACTGCCCTGTTTGCAAGTAAACCAAAGCTTTTGTAAACAAAACCACATGTGTGCTAAGGTCATAAATTCTCAAGCAGAGAAAAGCAGGAAGTGCAAAAACAGGATAATCATGGAGATCATGGAGTAGTGCAATTTTTATTCATTTGGTGTTATCAGCTAATAATGCAATGTGAAGAAACTTATGAGTACAATGTCATTGTAACGAAGTATGTTGACGACTGCCGCATACACATAAACAAAATATAAGTAACATAAAAGTCCAGGGGCCTGTACCATGAAGCCTGTTTAGATGGCTAGCAAGGTATGTTTCAGTTTAGCAACCCTGGGTTTTAGGCACCATCAAAGTGGTTTGGCTTTTAGCAGTGTTCATCTCCATAGTAACTTGCACTCCATGGCTAATCTGGTCTGGGGCAGGTTATGTTTCAGGGAAGAGGTTTCCAACCGAACTTGGACCAATCAGCTGTGAAGAAAGTGACACATGTCTGATGCTGCAATGAAGTCACTCCACCTGTTTCTAATTCAAATTAAATGTCACTCATAGCAAATGATTTTTAAAGACAACATTGTTTGGCTTTTAGTAATTATTATTTAGAATAATCATTTTATATGATTTAGATATGATTTATGTAATTATTATACCCATAATCGATCACACATGAACAATTTTAGTTTAACAAATGATTATTGTGCAGTTTAAATGAATAAATATATAAAGGTAATATAAAAACACTTTAGAATCAACAGATGAAGCTATAAAATGACTACATGTGAGCTTAAATGTTAAATTCTCTCTATAACTATCAACTGTATAAACTTTTACTTGCACTGATATAGAAAGAAAATATTTTTTCTTTCAGTTGTCCTCTTTCATAGACAAGCTATTTTTTTCTTGCTTTGTAAATGTGTTTAAATTCTCTTAATATTCTGCAGAAGGCGATAAATGAATCACAGTTTCACTTTCTCCACATGTGATTGGATGTTTGTTACTGATGTCACACGTAAACTCAGGATCAAAGCCTGAGTTGACAGAGAAAGTTAATCATCAACAAAGCCTGGTTGGATTGGTTTGGTTTTGTCAACTCAAAACTAATCCTGTAACCCAGAGTGTGTTCAACTACCTTCATGGTACAGGCCCCAGGCCTGGTCCTCTCTTGCCCTTCACTGTCGTGCTCTCTTCCTTTTATACTTTCGTAGCTCCTCTGTGAGATTATGTTATCTCACAGCCCTCTGCCTCGTCCTGCTTGCCACAGTCATCTATACGATGTTGTAATTGGGATTTTGCGAAGATGTGCTCTTATGTGTGCCGTACCAGAGTTCATTTGGGGTCTCGGTACGATTTTTTGGCCCGCACCCGAGTTTGACCAAACAACCTTACCCAAACCCAGCTGAAGAGGTGGTCCACCCGAGTGTTATTGCTGTATTAACACCCACTGCAAAGATCCGCACCAAAGGAAGAAACGAACTTGAGTTTGAGTCGATCGAACCAAAAAAAGTTGTGAATACACCCTTAGACAAGGTTTGAACTATAGTAAATAATAGTGTTTGACAAATGTCTGTTTTTCTTCTTTTTAGCTTATTGGCATACAGGATGGCTACCTGTCTCTGCTCCAGGACAGTGGTGAGGTCAGAGAAGACCTGAAAATGCCAGAGGGAGACCTTGGCAAAGAGATAGAAAGCAAGTTCGATGCTGGTGAGGAAATCCTGGTAAGTGTTGTTAAAGCAGTCACCCTTCAAATGTCACTGAGCATATTTGAATGTGGACACTCTATATGTTTCTTTCTAGATCACTGTCCTGTCTGCTATGAATGAGGAGGCTGCAGTAGCCATCAAAGCCATGGCTAAATAAATCACAGCAGGTATATGGAGCTCTTGCTGCTGTGTGCACATGCTCACCAGATAACTAGGCCTGGAGCGACTGTGCCTCACCAGTGTGCTTGCAGCAAAGCACTTATTTAAATGTTCACCTTAACTGGAAACTATAAAACAAATCATCAAACCTTTACACACATGAATAAGAAAACTGTGAAGAAGAAAAAAAAAGTCTTTAAAAGGAATTTAATCAAAAGACTGAATGTCTCCAAACGATTGATGTCTCAATCAATCTGATGACTTTCCTGATGTACATTAAGTTCTTGTTTCATATCTCTACCAGACACTGAATACAGGATAAATATTCTGTAGTGGTTAGGTTTTAGAAATGAACTGATTTTATACTTTTTTTTTTATCCTTGTCCAAAATTAGATGTGATCTGTGTCCAGAAATTGAACCAGGAAGTTCAATAATGTATTTAAAAAGGTTTGACAGAAAAAGCTTTCTTTACATATACTTTGCTGTTTGCATACTGGCAAATGCACTTTTGATTAACATCGAGATATAGTACTACTGCAATGTTTAACGTGTCTTGATCTTTGTCTGCTATGTGAAAGCAATGACTGAGGTGTAAATAGAATTTCACGTTGTATTTTACACTACAAGCTAATATTTTGTCTGATGTGTAACCAAACATGCTGTACTGTAAAATAGCTTTTTAAGAAGAATCAAAAATAACTATTGTGTGTTATTATCACCCATATCTGCTGTTCCTAAGTTATTGGAGTGATAAAGTGTTTGTGTACCATTTTATTTTGCTTTTTGACTTTGGGCTTCAAAATGAACTGACAAGCTATCCAAGCAAGTAATTCAGACTCTGTTCTGTAATGGAGAGCACATTTACTTTCGTAGACACTCCATCTACATTTAACATGAACCTTTTTTGAACAGTTTCGTCTTCGACACACTTTTGTGGATATGGACTTAACTTTATGGTGTTTTACCCTCTCCCCCCATGTTTTTCTACTTCATTATTTTACTTTTATCACTCTCTTTCCTCACTCTCGCTTGTACTACTCTCTTCCTCTTTTCTCAGGGGTTGACAAGATGCTTCGGATCCGGAAAGGAGAGAATTAGACCTCAGCAATGCTATCTTCCCTCCTTTTTTATTCTTTCTTTATTTCTCCCTCTCTGTACTTTATAGCCCATCTGTAGGTTAAAATTTAGGAAATAAATTTAATATTCAAAATGTTCCAAACTAAATTAAATTCTTGGAAATGGAATTCATGGACAGTGAACTAAAGCACCATTGTAATGTATGTCTGGTGTGGGACATTATCTTTTTTTTTCTTTTGAGGAGGGCACCTCATAATCTCTCCAGTTAGTATGAGTGTCCTTGTGACACTTTTTATATAAAACAATATCTGTCCCAAATATGTTCTTTGTTATCTTAAATTAAGTAGCAAATAGCTACAAGAGGTCTGTTATGTGGTTCATTTTATTTACAAGCAATTAAGGGTGCAGAGGGGAAGTAAACATTCTTGAATGAAAACATTCAAGTGCAGAATCTCCTGTGAAGGACAGATACAAAGGCAATATGTGTAATAGGATGCAGTTTTGTATCACAGGACCAAGTGTTCTGCATAACTTCCCTTTTATCTTCTGGTAGTTTAAAGCAAAAGACCATTAAGCAGGGAGTGAAAATATCACACAGGCTGGTGAATGGATGGATGCAGAAAGACTTCAGATCACTTTTAGCACCACCCCCAACCCCCTTCATAAACAAAAAACTGGGAGATAACACAGTGGAAGACAACAATACAATTTTATCAAGATTTCTGTGAGGTGGAAGGAGGTGCCATAAGCCTTAGATCTCTTCTTGAAATAAACAAACTTCTGCCTGTAATGTACTCAGTCTTGGCCTATAATGGTTTGCTTAATGCTTGCTGTTTTCACTTGTCAGACAGACCAAACCCTTTCTTAAGTTTGAGGGTTGAATGAATTTTTGAACAAATGTTTATTGTCCCCGTTAAATTCAATCCTAGGCTATATAGGCCAGATTTGACTCATGTACATTACACTTGACTACAGTATGAGTAAATGAGTTTTTGTTTTGCAAGACTTTTTCAAAAATAAAATAGAAATAAACAAAAATGTATTCTAGCAAGACAACCAAGTCAATATTAAAAAGAGCACATATAAATGTCTATATCCATTTGTGATGTATTTTGGCTCTGTAATATATTGATCTCAATGGCATGGCTGCTGCTGGCAAACTCTAAGAAAGACATTAAATAAAACAACCCCCAGTTATTTGAGAAAGTACTCGTGTAATGTAGGACATTTCTTACAGCTATTAAACTGCATCACTAAGACTTCAAACTTATTATAAAGTTAAAATACACAGACAATTCTTGCTAAATTTCAAGGGAAAAGAAAGTTTACAAGGGTCTTGCAGGGAAAGCACAGCTTATTCAACCTTTGGCACTTTATTTTCAATTTTTCTGGACGTCGATCCTCTGACGTAAAGTACCACCTTGCATTTTTAGCATCATAATAACTTCGACAAATCTTTTCATAGTGAGTAGATATAATGTTGATAATCTAACTATATTTGCTGTATGGGACATTTATTACAATATTTAAAAAGCAAATTCAAATTGACTGGGTTTTCAAAAGAGTTTTCTGTATCCTGGCACCTTGGCATGGCCATAGTTTTAGTAGTTAATGTGGTTTTCCATGGTGGAAGAATCTCTGTCCAGCCTGAGCGTGAGGGACGAAGGCAAGACGTGACGCTGGTTGAGATGAACTCGGGAATGGAGCCTGAAACATCATCAGTTAAATTAAAAGTCAATCTATTTTGCATAAAAAAGCTGCAAAGAGACGGTCATGAATAAAAAGAAAAATGTTTAGTCTCACCAAATATACCAAAATTTTAAATTAAACAAGAACATATTTTAATATTGGGGAAAGAAGAGGTGTGGATTAAAGGTTCAAGTGACAGGGTAGTGATTAAATGGTAAAACGAATAAATAGTAAATTAATGGTTTAAAAATAGCAACAATGTACAGGCGCTCACATCTTTGACTTGCATCAATTTCAATTACAACTGTGCTGTTTTCCCCCTTATTTTTTTTACAATCTTGTCTGTTATTTTGTCTCATAATCTGTATAAATCTATTACACTGTTGCTCAAAAGCATGTGGCGAATGGTCAAAAAATGATTGATAATCAAAACAACTGACAGTAATTTTAAAAGATTCTTAAACACCTGTGATAAAGAATCCATGTTGATGACATTTTAATCTAATGACAGGCATTTGGAGGGGTTCAATGCAGGTTAGTGAGCTCACCTTTGCAGTAGAGATCTGGACAGCCATGGATGGAGTGGACATCAGACCAGCTGCACTCACATGTAAAGCCTGTGAATGCATGGGTCTAAGAGCAGCCTGACAATGACAACACACACACACACACACACACAATAATAATTATTTATAATAAGCGCAAGTATAAACATTACATTTTCTCATGGAAGACAAAGCTCATAACTTCCAAATATTTTCCAAATGAGTCTCAGGAAGTACTTACAGAGTCAGTAAAGCCAGACTGCTGATTAGCATGTTCAAGCTGTTTCTGAAGGGGGATACTAGCACTAGGGATGAATCCTATGAAGATTGATAGAGGAATAATGGACCAAAACAAAAAAGTATGTTTATCCTTTGTGTAATATTTCTGTAAGGAAGGAACCTTATCTTGTTGAGATAAAACAGCATTATACTAATCTGCATGGGTATCTCTAGCCGAAAGAGAGAAGAATAGCTAATGTAAAGTGAAGCACAAATTGTTTTGAGGAAGAGCCATATTAAGATCAGAGCAATGAATTTTATGTAAAAAGAGATCACGTGAAATGGCTTCTTTACCTGACTGGGCAGTGAAATGGCTGTGGACAGCATAACCCTGAGGCTGGTGGGACAGGAATGGCATGCTCTGGAAAGGTGTGCCTACATACAAAGAAAATGTAAAGGGAGGTCAATTCACCAAATCCAATTCTCTACAAGTACACAGATAATGTTTAAATAAGCTATATAAAAAATTATGAATACTCCGTGGAATTCAACGACGTGTTTCACCTTTTGATAAATCACGCCTGAATGGCGAGCATGTACAACACGTTTCTATGATGAGATTTTTTTCGGTATGTCTCAATGACTTATGGCTCGTTTCCACTGAATGGTACGGTACGGTACAGTTCGGTACGCAATTATTTGCGTTTCCACTGTCAAAAGTTGTGAATAGTACCAAAAAGCTGAACCGTACCGTACCACTTTTTGGGTACCCTTCCGTTAGGGTACCTAGCACAGTGAAAGGGTACTAAAAGGTGGAGCTAGACTCACTGCAGAACGGTGATTGGTGGACAGAGTATCGTCACTCGCGCGTGCTACAAGGGCATTAGAAGCATACAGTTGAAATATAATTTACTACTGTTATTGTGTCACGAAATGTAGTTTTAAGAGTTTTCAGGCAGGAAAGTAGTTTTTTAAAGCTCAAATCTGTGGTTTATTTATAGATTTATGATAATTTGACTGAGATCCATAAGCGATCCCCGGACGCTCGTGTCCCCCGCCTGGAACAGCGTTTCCTCGGCTAGTCATCCTGATGTTTGCCACTGACTCTGACGTCTCTGTAGTGGTTAAACATAAGATATAGTTCGTCTTGTATAAACCTAACAGGTGATCTTTGGTCTCATGAATCTATAATTCGTTTCCTGGTCAAAAGTTTTGGCAGAAGGCTACGTGAAGTTTCATATCTTTGAGCGCTGAATTTGTATATTTGACTGACTGAATTGTTTCTTGATATTATTTAAGCTTTACTGTATTTTGTACCTTTTACGTATACTTTTATAATGACTATTATTGATAAAACTGAAATTCAACAAAAAGAGACAGTTGTCATTTTTTTTATTCTATTACAAGATCATCTGTAATGTTGTTTATTACAACATTTGTACCAATGCGATATGCAATACATTACGTTACATAGGCTATTGCCTGGAATATGTTTAATATTTTTTAATTTAAAGGGCACCTATTATGCCCCTTTTTACAAGATGTAATATTGGTCTCGGGTGTCCCCAGAATGCATTTGTGAAGTTTCAGCTCAAAATACCCCATAGTTAATTTATTATAACCATTTGAAAATGTCATTTTGGGCCCTGATTAAAAATGAGCTGTTATGGGTGTCTGCCACCTTAATGCAAATGAGCTGCATATCCCCGCCCTGCCTTTGGATGAGGGCGTAACTTGATACCCAGTCGGTAAGCAGAAGGGGAGAGTGAGAGACGCGCAGTTTTGAATGTCATTCAGCGTACGTTTGAATGGGCTATATGCATGCATAAGTTCCGCATTTGACGCAAGGATGCTCGTCTATTTCCGGTTGTGTAGATTAAAGTGGAGGAAAACCGGAGAAAACGGGATTATGGCAGAGTCTTCAATATTTACTGTCCTCCCGTCTTTGAAACGAAACGTACGTTTAGATGTAATTTTATATACAGTTAGGTTTATTTAATATAATTTTAAAAAGAAGCATAAACACAACGAGGGGTGTCTGTTTTATCTGTTTTTGTGACTAACGTTTCTTTATTATAACCATGGAGTATAAAATTCAATATAAATTCTCGCTATTGCATTGGACTCTATGATCGGCGGAAGTTATCGAGCATCCTTAATCCTTCACCGGAAATACCGCCGTGCATAGAGCCCATTGGAATATATAAATAGTACGAAGAGACTCCGGCAGAATAAACACTTGAGAATGGACTAGTACGTCTCGGTATGGTTATTTGATACATTTATGTACTTATAGCGTTGTTGTAATCGCATCTTTTTGCAAGTATGGATGTGCAACACACACACAGACACACACAAACACTAATGCTGGCGCATTTTTTTGAAACTACATACACATTGTGTGATAAAGTTTGCAACATACAAGCGAAATTACATTTATGCGAGGGACCTGTGGCGTCATGTTTAGCTTGTCATACAGGCTTCTGTGGCAAATGTGAGAAGATGGCTAACTTACAGAACAACAACATATATGCAGTTGTTTAAACAAACAATGTTTAAATTATATACACAGACATCCTATGACGACAACAACTTAGACGCATAATTTGTTGTTGAATTGGCTGACAGACTGAAATTACTATTTGCTCAAAAATCATAAAATACACTTACTAGAGGTGACGGTGGATCGCAAACAGTAGATGACGATCCACACTTGAGGGTTAATTTTTAAGCCACAACAACAGAATTAACCCACGAGTCCACGACAGAACACTTATGTTTCCATGAGACATTACCGGCTGTCGTTGAAACAATGGAGGATGTACAGATCACTGAGTGCGGGGTCTAGGCCACAGCCACACTGTCAATCAAACCCCTTTCTCACTTCTACGTCACAAAGAGCTGAATCTCAGAACAGCTCGTTCTGAGACAGTGCATATGATTTATTGAGATTGAAAAAAAAAACCACTGGGTGGATTTTTATCATTCTAGGGTGGTTTTGCTCACACACTGCCAACACACATTTATGTTCAAACACCATGTAAAAGTGAATTTTCCATAATAGGTGCCCTTTAAACGAAAAGAGGCAGGGTTGTTTTATATTTAGTTTTGTCATAAATATAACGTTAACTTGCATGCAGTGATAATCAACAGGCTATGCGTTGCCTGAACCACATTTATGTGCTTTAGAATGTTTAAAATGTATTGAAATGGAATCAAAAAGAAGCAGAGTGGTGTTTTATAATATTTCGTTTTATTGTTGCCTAAAATGAACATACAGAGAGAACCGGAGTCGCAGAGCCCGAGCGAGCAGAGTGCCGCGTTCAAGAACGCGCTGTTCCATAACAGAATTACTGGACTCGCGTCCTCGGGAACGCACTGAGTCGGACTTTCCTGAGTCGGACTTTGCATTGGCTTCTTGGAAACGCCTAATGCCAGCGCTTGTTTCTAGTGACAAGATCTGCTGTCTGTCATCCATTGTTGTTTACTATGTTGCTTTCTTCGCGCGAAAATGACGTCGATCGCTTCTTTCCAGCATACCACGCCTATCAAGTAAGGGTACTGTTGGCGGTGGAAACGCAAGCCTGATCATGGTGTACCCGACCCGACCCGTACTGTACTGTACCGTACCCCTCAGTGGAAAACGAGCCATTAGAGCACTGCAGATTCTTAGAAATCATTCTAATGTTATAAAAAGTTCTGCAAATTTAACTGATTAAACTGGTTCACCTGAAACAGGGTTCCTGCACACTTTAAAAGTCAAATTTAAGGCTTTTTAAGACCTGAAGAAATCAAAATAATACCATACATTAGGGGTGTGCAATATTGACAAAAATATATCTCGATGTTTTCAACATTTTGCTGATAATAATTAGTTGATATTTTACTGATTGTGTTTTTGTGCTGGTGCAGGCTGGTTTAGGCCTGTTGTTGACAGCAGACTTGCGAAGATATTTATATTTTTCATATTCTATGCATTGGTCAGTTCACAGCAGTGACAGAATTGATTAAATAATGTGCAATATTTGCCACCTTAAATTGATTTCCGGGGCATTTTCACCTATATATGGACTTTTTTTTTATCCATATTATCCTTATTTAGAGTTATGCATCACATTTTGTGTCAAATACAAACATTCAATTAAAGATTCTATAAGCGATGTGGGGCCAAAACATTTTTTGTTACATACATCAAACGTCTCCTCACTATCGGCTAGCTGCCTGTCCCCTAAACACACTGTAAAAAAACGCGGTCTCTGTAGACACCAAAGGCTCCACAAACGGCAACAAAAACAATCATGTCTTACCCGGACCACGAAACCTAACAAACAGTATTCCAGCCAATCACTGGCAAGAAGTATTTGAGGGTGGGTCTGGGGGGTTAGTGCGCGTGCACATGAAGGGTGTGTGTGTGAAGGAGAGCAGCGAAGCATCAGAGGGAAGTTTGAAAAATTACCCACACACGACCAAAGAGACGTCGTTCTGAGGAACAAATTAAAAAGAAGAAGGAGTCGGATAAAGAACGTGCGAAGTTCCAAATTTACATCGGTAGCAAAGCTTTTGAACGATGGCGAGAACTCCGGCGGCAGAGGGGCTCCCAGTCCGACATTCAGGTTGCTCTGTTTTTGCTTTACAGGTGGGTAACGTTAAATTGTTTTTTCTTCTAAATTGACGCTTATGTTCGCCAAACCCACACAAGGATATAATTAGCTAGAACTATGCACGTTCACAATTATTTCAGGAAGCACGGAAGGGAGGGGGAGGAGATGCGGAGGAGGGAGGGTCTAGCTCCGATTTGTTTGAAAATATTCGAACGTCAACACCCAGGATCGCTTTGAGAACCTTTAAATTGTACAGTAATTATACAACAATACTTAATTACACAATAATTATACATTACCACTGTGACTGTCAACAGTCAAATTAAATCAATCAATCAATCAAAATACATCTTTGCAGTGCAGAGATGACACAGACGCAGCATCAGAAGTGGCATTAATATTTACACTCCATTTACAATTGCATAAATAAAGCTATAAGGTTTTTTTAAATCAATATTCAATATTTAAATATGAAATATTTCTAACTTTAATGTTTTACTTTAAATATAAAACTAAAACCGCCAGTAGGCGGCGGCAAGTAATAAGCGAGTTGAGGGAGTCATTCATTCAACCGATTTGTTCCAACAGCTGATTCATTCGGGAAAGAAGCAAGTGATTGTTCATTGAATCGTTAAAATGACTCGTTCAAAATGTTAATTGAATCGTTAAAATGACTCGTTCAAAACGCGGATTTTAGTCCAGAAATCATCGCTGTCTGTTGCATTGAGACTCAGCTTACGTTATGGTTTCATTTTGGCAACATCTATTCGGCGAAATAAAGGGAAAACAAACAATATTGATAATGTTATGTCTAAAAAATAACTCACAATGTCAATTTATTTTTGATTTAACTATTGTATAACATAAATATCACACTTGTGCACGGGAAAATGGCACTTTTACTAATGTAATATTCTGATATAAGAACATAATATGATATAAAAATAAGACAACAACTAGTTTGGGGACAAACCTATAACCATATGCCTTAAGCTGCACACATCACGCAGTCGCAGTGAAAGCACGAGAGACGACTGCGATGTCAGTTCTGAGTTCTCAGTGCCTCATACATTGTTAAAACAATTAGAATATCATAATAGACAATACACATCGCACACCCCTTCCCACATAAAGAAATAACTTACGACTGAACTGACATTTGCCAACTTTCTTCTCTCCTCTCTAGGGGTGCACGATATATCGAATCAATATCGTTATCGCGATATCACGTTGCTCGATATCAATATCGAAAGTGTCGCGATATTTATGCAATATTTTGTTTATGATGCGTCTGTTCCGACATGCACCGTTGCATTTCCCCCCGACTCATTTCCTGATTCTCCTTCTCCATAAACAATATTAAATCAAGAGAGGTTTAACTTTTCATGCTACAGATTTCCCACAGTGGTCAGAAAGAACAGTTTTTCTCAATATAAAGTCGCTACTCGCTCCAAAGCTAACCGCCGTCACTCTCTCACTTCTCCCTTGCTCTCCTACCACACAGTCCCACACACACACACACACACACACACTTGCCCCGGCTCGACGCGCACACCAGCGCACAAGTATAACATCAGGCCACGGTCCACCTGGCAACTTCATGCATTTTCACTGATCGGATAGCTATCTGATTTATCAAAATACGATCTTCAATTCCCGCGCTAGATTTAATGGAGTGCACGTCACCGTCACGTCAACAGTTATGAGCTGCGTTTTATGATCATCAGGTAAAATAAGATCAGTTCGTTTATTTACTTTTAATGAAGATAACTTAACTGTGAAAAGCGTCTGCGACTTACTTTCACTTTGATTTGCGATAGTTTGCGCGTTGGCTTGATGAAAAGGAAATGTTCAACAGCTGCTCATCTGCGGTGATGCGTGTTGCAGTCGCGCGCGTCGTCATATCTGGCCATAACATGACAAGCCTGTAACGTTCTCATTTTTAGCGTTTTTGGAAGGAGTACATTTTACATATGTGGTTTATTCAATAACGAGATGCATTTACATTTGTCCAGTTTCAACTGAAATGCGGCCCAGACCACCTCCTGAAGTGGTTTGAGCGATTAGATTCAAATACGTCACGAATGCGTTTCACAGGGCATTTACACCTGGTCTTTTCACGATCAGATAGCTATTCGGTCAAAGAAAACGCATATAGTGGGGTTTATGTTGCATAGTGTGTTCTGTAGACTTGCTATTTATTTATTATCTTTTACAGTGTAGTGTACACAACTAACATGTCCTGTTCTGTATATTATTTAGGCCTATTTATTAATGCTGTACCAGTCCAATATGACTGTCAGTTGAAATAAATCTTATGTTGTAAGAAAACTTGTTTTATTTATTAATCTTTTTGATGCGTTTTCCAATAACTTTTTAAAAATATCGAAATTAATATCGATATCGCAATATTCATTATCGATATCGCAATATCACATTTTTGTCAATATCGTGCACCCCTACTCCTCTCCTCTCCTCTCTCGCGTGCATGAGACAGACATTATTCTGCCGCAAATGTGAAGCAAATTGTCACGTGAACAAGCAAATCTACAAAGATAGAATAGGCCAATAAAAAGTAATTCGTTCGCAAATTTGATGGTTTTAATTTGGAAAACTTTTAGATATGACTAAGTCGAAGTGTCATCTAAAATTTAAGACCTTTCATGAGTAAAAATAAGACTTTTAATGGCCTTAAATTTTAAAAATCTAATTTAAGACTTTTTAAGGATCCGCGGGAACCCCGTGAAAAGAAATTTTCTATAAAGAAAAATCTAATGTTAGAATAACGCTGCATCATCTGAAGACTGTGATTTAATAATGAAAAAAAAAAAAAAAAACGATCAGGAATTATTATTACCTCTGATCTGGGTGGTGCCTGCAAAGCTAATGGGCACAGAAGTAGCATGCCCATAAGAGGTGTGGTGCTGGGCCTGGGTGACTGCAAAAGGCTCATGGACTGCAGCGCTACCCGTGAACTGCCCATGCTCAGAGGAACCAGTGAGGAAACCTGTTTGACTGGAGAATTGATGGCCCTAGAAAAGAAAAAAATTTATGGATAAATATGTGCCATATAGGACCTATAAACTAGTCATTCCAGCAAGAAAAAAAAGTTTCAGTATTTTAAAGATGCTATTATTACTGAAAATGTAATGGTAGCTTGAACACCTCACTGATTTCGACGACACAATTCTCAATATTTTTTGAGACAAAAAGTGATGCATAAAACATAACTTCACTCTTATTTGACATTACGTTTTTTTGAAAACAACACAGTGTTTCATGTTCTTCAGATTTATTTACTTACAGGCATCAGAGGTGTCTGAAACAACTGTTTACTGCGCTCCCCTAACAAACCACCGGCTCTATTGTGACCCACTGGACTTCCTTAAACACACAAAATACCATTTTATACCAAGCACAGGATAGCGGTATGGTCTACTTAAGAGAAAAAAAAAACTGTTTTGTTTCTCTAATGTCAAATATTATTTCCTTTAAAATAATCCAAGGTCAATAAGGTTTTGCAACCTTTCAATACACCACCTTGTATATTGAGTAGATGCTGTCCTGAGTGCAGAGGTAAGCTGGACTGATAACTGGATGAAGGCAGTGATGTAATATCACTGAAAATAAATGAACAAATCCATATACATTTGATAATTAAATACACTGTAATACATCTAGAAAACATAAACATTCAAATAGCAAATGTCTTAACGTGTAAAATGTGCGTAGGAACCTAAAAGGATACAACAATTGAGACAAACTGAACAGGTTTCACTGACGTTTAATGTAAAGAAACAGAATAATGAGTTCCTGAACAAAGGGGAGGGTACAAATCAAAACGTACAAGAACATGATTGAAATAACAAGGAACACGAGAGCTAAATAACTGTCAGTCATTTTTCAGTATAAAACAAAAAATAAAATAAATAAAAATGACTCACCTTTGCTCCTTTCTGCGACGCCTTTCCTCCTCATGAAGGACTTTTTTAAGCTGCAAGAAGAGCTGATGTTTCTCCTCTTGCAAAACCTGTAATTTCTCACCCATTTTTTGAACCTAATAAACAATAAAAAAAATGCTTATTAAGGTTTTAATAATGGGAATAATCAAATAAGTGGGGAACATCACATCACACTTTTACTAGTGTTGCTGTACACACCTGTTCTTTAGTCTCTTCCAAAGACATTCGCTCCTCTATTTCTTTAGTTCGTTTCCTCTCCTCCTCTTCTTTCATTTTCTGTTCCATCATCTTATCGACTTCTTCCTCCTCTACCGTATGAAAAAAATTAATACACAAACCATTTTTTAGACATAATTAAAAATGAACTGAAACTGTTACCATAGAATAGAATCTTTATTTGTCATTGTAGTTATACAACGAAATTTGTTTGGTAACTATGAGTTCAGACACAGAGTTCAGAGTGAATCTGTTACCATGTATGTGTAATAAGGACCAATATTCTGTTGTGCTATTCAAAACAATTTAAACATTGTGTTTTCTTTTTTGCACTAAACTGGAAACACACATTTACCTTGTCTTTTTCTCTCTCTCTCTTTCATGATATGCTTATGCAGGGCTCTGGCCATCGCATTGGACAGCTTTGGTCTCTCCAGTAAAGCAGGCATCGTGACAGGCAGTGGAGGAGCCAGCTGAAGACACACACACTTCTTACTATATAAACATTTAATTTTGTGTAGAGGGCGCTTCGTCGAAAACTATGACAAACAGCAAACGTGTCTCTCTATTTATAAAACTCAACGTTACCTTCGTATTGCCACACGTATTCCGCAATGTTTTCCTTTGTGTTCTTCAGAAATCTCCCAGCACTAGAGAAAAAAATACCCTAAATAGTATTTATGAGAGCTGTGATTCGTGCTAAACCCACAATTAAACAGCTAGCCAATTTTGTTTTCTTCTTCTTCTAGGGTTCATTGGCAAACAACGAACTGCTGCATTACCGCCACCAAATGGTATGGAGTGTGGACCAGAACGTCAACTATTTCATCTCACTTAAATTACACTGTAATACATCTAGAAAACATCAACATTCAAATAGCAAATGTCTTAACGTGTAAAATGTGTGTAGGACCCTAAAACGTTTCAACAATTGAGACAAACTGAAAGGTTTCACTGACATTTAATGTACATGCTTAGTCTATCCTAACGAGCTGAGGATCTGATTCAGGTGTGTTAAATACACAATATGCAGAGCAGTGGGTCGCGAGGACTGCAGTTGAGAACCACTGTTTTAAAGTAAAGAAAGTCGCAATTTGGTTTAAAACCGTTGAGGTGTAAGACTGTGAAAAAATGTAATTACAAAGACTACAAACCGCAAAGGCGCACATTTTCTCTCAATGAATGAAGCTAACTTTACTGAGGCTAATGTCTGTCATTGTTTCTATAGACCATTTCACAAGATGTAAACAACACTGGTCCAGAAACACTTCCTGTTTCAGTTTGTAACTGTTTTCTTTATTTCACATGTAAAGAAATATCTTAAAGGTGTTTGTTTAACTTTTTGATTTAGTTTTAAATGTTCTGTTGGTTGTATTTTATCCCAGCTTTTATGTAGTGTTAAAAAACTGAAACAGGAAGTGCTTCTGGACCAGTGTTGTTTACATCTTGTGAAATGGTATAGTCTTACGTTATAATCGTAACGTTACGCCGTCATGGCTGAGTGTTTTGTACCAGACCACACACACACGAGTAACTAACGGATCTTACTCACTGTTTCGCTTCCCGGGAGATGTAGTTCACTGAGCGATTTTCACATAAAACTAAAAGCTAGTCTTCTGTTTTATGATAAACTGAGACGTTTTTGACTTTCAGAATTATCTTTTAAATTGACAAACATCATATGTGTAATTCAGGGCACAGTTCAGACGGAATAAAAAGTTGTCTCAGTCGCCATTGACTACCACACATATTTTTTTAGTGTTGCCAGAGAGTGTTGCCCCCTGAGCCGGAAGTGGAGGGGCGGGACAGACTTCTTCTTCTTCTTCTTCTTCTTCTTCTTCTTCTTCTTCTTCTTCTTCTTCTTCTTCTTCTTCTTCTTCTTCTTCTTCTTCTTCTTCTTCTTCTTTTTATTTGGCGGTTGGCAACTATTTCTTGTGCATTACCGCCACCACAGGACTGGAGTATGGCATAGGAGCTACTGTCTTATTCTTTACTATTATTAAAACAAAATATACCAGCAATTTCATAGTTATTTATAAAAAAAAAAAAAAAAAAAAAAAACTTTATTCCTATATCCTTTTTAAAAGGCCTGTACTTTTCAAAAAAGAAAATAATAGATCAAAATTCTCCCTTGAACTTCTGTCCAATAGTGTTTTAGTTTCTAAAGACATTTTCTTTGCTTTCAACTCATTAACTAGTCTTTGCCTTGCTTCATTGTATTTCTGACAGTACATTATTACATGCTCTACGGTTTCAGGTATATTACTCTGGCAATACTCACAATTTCCATCTACATGCTTTTTTATTAAAAACATTGTACTATTCAACTTTGTATGACCCAACCTCATCCTAGTCAGCACAATTTCTTCCTGTCTTGATCTGGTTATGTGTGTTTCTTTTCCCACTTTCCCTTGTATCCTATATAGATGTCTTCCTGAGCACCCATTATCCCAGATATGTTGCCACTTTTTAATAGTTTTAGCCTTAATTATGCTTTTTATCTCTGCTTTACTGTATTTTACATCTATATCTATTGCTTTTATCTGTTACTCTCTTTGCATGTTCATCAGCCATTTCGTTACCTTCCACTCCTATATGGGCTGGAACCCATACAAATGTCACCCTCCTTCCTGATGCTTGTATTCCATTTGCTAGCTGTAAAATTTCAACCAAAATATCTTCCCTTGAATCAGAACGATAGTTCTGAATACTGTACATTGCTGAACTTGAATCAGAGGCAATTACTGCCTGCAGACAATTGTTAGACTCTAGCCACAAGAGTGCTAACCATATGGCAACCAGTTCAGCAGTATACACTGCTAGGTCATCATTTATCCTTTTTGCCATTTCTATGCCCATCTCAGGAATTACATAGGCTACCCCTACTCTCTTCTCAGTGTTTTTAGATGCATCTGTAAAAATCTTTACACACTCTTTGTATTTTCCTGTTATATAGTTGCTTACTCCATACTTATCCACTCCATCTTTCTTCTTCACTTCCAATAGTTCTAAATCAACATTAAATTCTTGTAACATCCACGGAGGCACGATTGGATATGACACTGTTGGGCAGATGTTCAAAGATCCAATTCCCATGTTATTCACCTTATCTTTTATGACCCACCCATAACTTTTGATTTTCATACTTTCTTTTTCCTGACATTCCCTTAATACTATTTGAGACATGTGGTTCTCTTTATGCCCCCTGATATTTGCCCAGTATACCAGTGCTAGCTGGTCCCTCCTCAATTGCAGTGGCATCTCACCCACTTCTACTTGCATTGCAGCTATTGGAGAAGTTCTTATTGCACCACTAATTATCCTCATTGCTTGATTTTGCAAACCATCAAGTTTGTTTAAGCTTGTTTTGGAGGCAGATCCATATGCTATACAGCCGTAGTCAAACACTGATCTCATAAGACCTGTATAGATGGTTTTTAATGCCGACCTTGTAGCACCCCAATCTATCCCACATAAACACCTCATAATATTTAGTATCCTCTTACATTTATCTATCATCTTTTGGATATGATATGCCCATGTCAACTTCTTATCAAACCAAACACCTAGATATTTAAAGATCTCAACCCTCTCTAGCTCTTTATCCAAAACCATTATTTTTAAATTCTCGGCTAATTTTTCTCCTTGTAAAGAACATAACCTTTGTCTTCTCTATTGATTTTCTAAATCCCCATTTCACTCCCCATTGCTGAACTTCATTAACAGCATCTTGCATCTTATGCACAATATACTCAATGTTCCTTCCCTTCTTCCACATTGCACCGTCATCCGCAAATAAAGCTACTCCATCTAAGCCATTCAAGTCTTTAAATATCTGGTCTATCATAATTACAAATAATAAAGGACTTACAATGCTTCCTTGATGCGTTCCATTTTCTACTCTAAAACTCTCACTTAGTTCCCCATCAATTTTAACTCTCAAGGTTCTATCAGATAGGAAATCTCTGACCCACTGATACATCAGACCCCTAACTCCCATCTGATTTCGACCTAAAGAATCACAAAACTTCTTCCAGTACTCCCTTTTTGCTTTCCTTACATTTTGCCTTACCATTGCTTGTGCTCTCTTGTATTCTATCAAATGCTGAAAATTGTGTGTCCTCTTAAGTAATCTAAATGCCTTGTTTCTTTCTTTTATAGCTTCCTTACACTCTCTTGACCACCATGGCACTATTTTATTCAAAAGTTTGGGTTTTGATTTTGGAATAGTGGCATTTGCTGCTGCTATTATGCTTGACCTAATTTCTCTTGTTAATACCTCAATATTTTCACTACCATCAACACATGACAGCCATTCCTCACTTAGCTCTTTAAACTTTTCCCAATCAGCTTTCTCTTCAAACCACTTCTCTACTTTCACTTCTTTCTCTTTCTCTATCTCCACACCTATGTATACCTTTATAGGATAGTGATCACTACCCACTGTGTTTCCTCTTGACACCTCCCATTCACATTTGTCCGCCACATTTCTCGTGCCAAAGGTTAAGTCTATTGCTGACTCTTTTCCCCTAGATATATCTATCCTTGTACAAGTTCCATCATTAAGACATATTAGTTCTTTCTCTTCTATAAATTCTTCCAACACATTCCCATTTATGTCATCTTTATCACCCCATAAAGTGCTATGTGTGTTAAAATCTCCACACCAAATAACTCTACCCTCCAAATCTTTCCAAATTTCCTCAAGCTGACTGCTTTTTAACTGGTTACATGGGTTGTAAAAATTAATCATTTTAATATTACCTTCTTTTACCCACACTTCCACAGTGACATATTCCAATTCCTCTCCTTTCTTAATTTCCTTGTACTGCAACCCTTTCTGTAAAAAAAAAAAATTATCCCTCCACCTTTCCCATTCTTTCTATCCCTTCTTACTGCATTATACCCTTTTATGTTAAAATCTAGCCTAGGAATTAACCACGTTTCTTGAACACATATAACATTGGGTTTCTCCTTAACATCTTCCACATACTTCTTAAACTCCTGACCATTCGCAATTAAGCTCCTGGCATTCCATTGGAGTATTATTAACACCATTAAGAGGAACCAACCCATGACTGTGATTGTTGAGTTTCCTCAAGGGTTTCTCTAATCTTTTCCCACTGTAACCCTTTTACATCCAAATACTTCTCAGCAGTTTTTACTATAATCTTGATCCTTTCAGTCCTGCTAGTCGTCTGGGCTGTGCAGTTTATGATTTCTGCCATGAAGAGCACAAAGCCTACTTTACTCACTATCAACGTTTCTTCCTGAATCCTGTCACACTTTATACATCCGTCATTGTCTTTTCTGTAGTTTACTACATTTTGTGGTATCTTTGGTACTCTCCTTGCTGCTTCAGCATACGTGATTTCCTGATTTACTTTAACCTTCTGTACTTCTTGCATTACACTTCACATCCACCATATGCAGCACTATGTTCTCTGCCACAATTGCAACATTTTTTCCTTGCCCCTTCCTCACATTCATCATATTTGTGTTCACCTCCACATTTACTGCATCTTATTTTCCCTTTACATGCTGCTGCCACATGCCCATATCTTTGGCATTTGAAACACCTCAGAGGGGGTGGTATGTACATCCTCACATCATAGCTCATGTACCCTATAAAAACTTTCTCTGGAAGTCTTTCTTTTTTCACACTATGTACATCCCCAATTTCCTTATGTATGGCTTTCGAAAGTTGTATTGGACTCCATACATCAAAAGTCGCTCCCTCCTAATGTGATAAACACATTAAACTCTTTTCCCATTTCCCTATCTTTTACCTCAGAATAAACTTCTGATATTTCCAATGAGCTTTTTTTCTTCCGTTTATTTCCACTCACACCCACACCCTCTACCTCCATCATTTCCTACTCCGTCCTTCCTCCAGTCCCACGTGGTGCGTTCAGCGATTGCTGCTAGTATCGCGATAGTTCGACTTCTTCTTCTTCTTCTTCTTTGGGGTTTTACGGCAGCCGGCATCCAACAAGTTGCATTGCTGCCATCTCTGGTACTAGCACCTAAGTGCACTATATCCGCAACCAGTGTCTTTTAAAAAATTAAAAAGATACTGCTTTCCCCTTGAGCTTGACCCTACTTCCAAAATATTTTAAGAGATACTTCTTCCAAACCGATTATTCGCATTTCTCTGAGTTAGATCTTGTCTTTGGCGGTCATATTTTCTACAAGAAATCAAAACATGTTCCACTGTTTCAGGTTCTTGACATGAACACAAACCACTCTGGTGCTTTCCTAAAATAAATAAAGTGCTGTTCAGTAACGTGTGACCAATCCTCATTCTAGAAAAAATAGCATCTTCCTTACGTCTCATCTCTCCCCTACAAACATTAACTGAGTTCCTTTTCTTTTCACATCTCTAATTGACAGAAGAATATCATATACAAGATCTTGTCGACTCTTTGAAGTCCCTTTCCCCATACTATTGATAGCTGACACAGAGTCACTACATATCAATACTTTGCAGTTCTGCATCTGCTCAGTCCATTGCACTGCCATCAGGATTGCATATAATTCCACTGAAAACACACTTAGGAAATTTGCGGTTCTCTTACAAACGTCGGTATTCCACTTCTGAACAACAAAAGCTGCTCCTGTAGCACCTGTTTCCTGATCTTTTGACCCATCAGTAAAAATTAATAGGTGTTCCTGATACCTCTCTATTATATGACAGTGAAATGCATACACCAAATCTGATTCAGGATTTCCTAACTTAATCCCAAGTATATCTAAGTCAATCTTTGGGACCTCCAATTGCCACACAGGAACTGATGGCCACAGTACTCCTGGACAAAAG